TCCAAGCAAGCGAGACTTGTTCTTGTTTTACTTAAATGTACTCGAAAATATCATTTTATTTCATACAGGTAAAAGACATGAAGTTCTTGATTTTGCTGAGTATACTTTGTATCTTCTCCCAAGACATTGTGGAGGTACAGCTTTTAACAGAAACATATAACCCTCTTAGGATTATATGCTTCTGTTATTAATCAGTAAGTTCGCGCTTTCCGATGAATGTTAGTATTTTGGATGATTTACGACGTTCTCTTTGTGTTTAACTGTTAGCTTAAATAAAAAAATCGTAAATACCTCAATTATTTGCTTTTTCTCGTTGTGGTTTGTTCTTGCTTTTTTGCCGTTCAAGTTGTGTTATTCCACGTATAGAGCGTATTCACATGAGGTCACGGCGGCCATATTGGTTTTCGAAAACAATGAAACGGCGGCCATATTGGTGTTTCAAACAAATCCTGTGGGAGTTGGACTCTTTTATTGTGTAAAAAAATTCTTTTGCTCCCATAAATTTGCTGAATGCTGGACACGTGAGTGAATACGCTCTCTTTTTTTTCCATAAATTTAATTAGAATTAAACTTTTTGTGTAACTTTCTGCTGTTTGTTTGTATGTTTGGTTTTTTTTGTTTGTTTGTTGTCGTTGTTGTTATTTTTTTTTATTTGTTTATGGAGGCTTGGTACAAAAAAAGTTTTATCACTTGACATTTTTTTTCGAAGAATCTAACACAGTTGCTTTCTTTTTATTTTGCATGCACTCAGGTCACAGGAAGGGAAATTTTCTGTAAGTTATGTTTTTTTCTTCTGAAACATATATTGGACATTTCTGAAAATCCTACTAACAAATCTCAACACATCTCTGTGGTGTAGAGATCGTAACTGCCACTTGCAAAAATAGCAGGGGCATTTGGAAAATTGTGCGTACCTCTGAAAAAATCTTCGCTACGTCCCTGTAAACTCCCAGGAGCTCTAAATAGTTCGTGAAAGCCATACATTCCTATCGTGCTCTGCAATCCGTTCACGCATACCTCTTCCCGTTTTGCCAATGTATACTTCACAGCATTCCCAAAGGGAACTGCTCCACCAGCACGAAAAATTGGATTCGGGGCAAAAATGGTGCAAAAAAAGTGCAAATTAGGGGGTAATCAAGGGCAACGATGGTTAATACCGCATTTGCATGCCAGTTTACATGGGGTAGTAAATTCGAGAGCTTGATTTAACCGTAATTTGCACTTTTTTTGCACCAAATTTGCACCAAGTAAATTTGGTGTAAATCAAATTTTTCACACAGCCTGCACTTTTACGTCGCACTAAGTGTGATCTAATTGTAGTGTCGAACTTGAAAACAGATCGTATGCCATGCTGTTGTAGGCAACGACAAACTGCTTCAGGTGACCCTTAAATGTATGGCAGAATCGTAGATTGTAGATTTAATTTCGGTTGTAGGTTCTTTATCAGATGTCTGGTTCCTGGATTACTTACGTTAGCAACAAACGAATGCTGGTATCCGTTAGAGATAAGATATTTAGAAATTTCGTTTTTGCAGGCTTGTTCGTTTGATGGTTACTTGTTGGTTTTTCTTTCACATAGATTGTCCCAATTGCCGAAGGCAAGCGCAGTGTTATGCGGATCCTTGCATGTCTTACCCTTGTGGAGCGCCAAATAAAGTGTGCAAGGCTTGCTACTGTATGGGATGTGACTCATACACTTGTAATGAGCGGCCACTAAAAGAATAACGCGCAAACATTCCGATCCAATTTAAAGCGATCTTAAGTTGGCACTGCGGACCAGCCACAATCACAGTTTTACATTTAATCTGTAATCAGGAAAATACTTCTTATACTCATAAAAATGTTTATGATTTAATGAATGAAATAAAGGTGTCCGTGAATATATTAAGTTTCTTTTATTTATTTATATATTTATTTCGTTGTTGTAGTTGTTGTTCTCAGTAGTCCATTTTACAGCTGCGGGTGCAAACGAGGCTAAAGTTGACCTTGTTTTGATGCAACCCTTATCCTCCTTTTATAATGTAAATCATATTGTTCTTATGCTAACTGGTATTCTTTTTTTAGCATGATTTTTGTAAGAAAAGGAAAGAGGTTTGTATCAGAACAAGGTCAATCTCAGCCTCACTTTCATTCAGACGCTAGGGTACTAAGCTCATAACTGTAAAATGGTTTATTGCTGTTTCATTTCCAACTCCTCACCTTCCCCCAAAATACAAACATGACAGGATGAAGTTTTGTTTCGAAGGTTGTTGTTCAAAAGATTGTGAGTGGAAACGAAACCAAGTGAATATCACTGGAATGTTGTTTATGAATCGCTTTTTTTTCTGGCCGAGAATGGAAATAGCGAAGGTTGCATTCTTAGTTTTCGTACTCTGTAATAGCTTCTTTGAACGACGCAAATTGGAATGCGAGGTTTATACTCTTTTGTTTAGTCTTTATAATCCATAGCAGAAAGTAACCACTTACAGTTACAGAAAATGAATTGAGGCTAAAAATCGCAATAAATTAATACGATCACTACTGATTATAACACGCCATTTTTCATTACGCGCAAACTATTTGAAAGATGAAATCGACTCCGACATTAGCAATGATGTCGCAATGTGTGGTACGCAAGATACTCAAGATACTGATCTGCTGCCTTTCTTTCAGCTGTTCTTTCAGAAAAGAGAATCTCTTACTCATGATCGTCGCTCGTCAGATATTGTGCTTGTGATTATTCCGTTTTACACTAACCATAACTGAACAACAACCCGTCAGAGTTACTTGTCATTACCTGCTTGGAACAGATTTTCATTCTAGTTATCATTCATAGGAATTTCTCGGTAAAATGTCGAGAAACGACTCAAAATGGCCTTTAAATCGTTTAGCTATATTGAATAGAGGTAACAAAATAATTTAGTGGCAGGTGTCCGACTTCTATAAAGCTCTTTTTCAGAAGCCAACTATTGCCAATAAAATACTGTTTAGATTAACCAGCCTTATGTTTTCATCATGACCAAGTCAACTCTCAAATCAAGCGCTAGTGTCTATTTCGGAGAACAGCATGAGAACTGAACCAGAGCAATTTTCACATGACCCAGTCGCTAAACCAAAAACTGAAAGGCAGTATTAGTAGTCAATAAAAAACAGGCGAACAATCCTACAGTCAGCCAATTAAACCTTGGTGCAATGGCATGAAGGTGACGATAAGCTCGGCGGATGATCCCAGCTTTGGTTTAGAACTGATTGGACTTTTCTTAATCATTCCTACAGGCTTGCTATGAGCAGGTGGCAGTGGAAACCAAATCAATAACCTAAAGTTCCATTCAAAACGAGGAAGTTCTTTTAAGAATTCGACATTTAAGGAGATTTGAAGTTCAAGTATCGGTTCTTTTAGAGGTACAAAGATTATCTTTGATGCCATGTTCTTATTCCGCAAACATAAGCACTGAGAGTTAACGGGGGTGACTATTATAGTAAACTGTTTTAATCTAGTAAATAAATAATAATTTCCCTCAAACTCTATTTTTCTAACTTTATTCATATCTCCTAAATTAGTTCTATTTTTTCCAAAACTAAATAAACAAAAAGTTTAATTCAAAGAAAGGCCTAATGAAACGGTGTTAGTCATAAGGAAAAATGAAGGACTTTGGTATTGCTAAATCGAAAATCCTCTACTATACGCGTTCTTTATTTTTATGTCCTTAAATTATATACACAGTTACGTATTGGGGATCACTCGAGGTGTTAACACAACACCATTTTGTGAGGGTACCCTTGCACTAATTCTCGGACACCAAGGGTGGACAGCCCCTAAGTCATCCTCGTCCCCAAGGCATTTCCCTGGGGACGAGGATGCCCCAAAGTACCAGTAACCTGCACGTCAGTCTCGTTATCTTGGGGAGCAAAAACCAGAATGGTTCCAGTGATTAAAAAAAGGTAAGAATCACGACAAATGAAAGATGCACGAAAGCATAGAGACAAAGAAATGCACACCCACGGTTAAATGCCAGTATTAAATATTCGAAGCGACACAGGAAGATACTGTATATAAAAAATAACGCGAACCTAAATCGTCAATTGTCTTTTTTGTCATTTGGTGTGGTGTCGAGAATTCATTACATTCGAGAATCTTTAGCGTGTACATCATTTTTTCTCCTAGTCAAGTAATGACTCACTTTTCGATTTGACAATCAGCAAAAGCCGGCTATCTTAAACTTTCATAGCGCTCACGCGCTCTCCTTGACACTAACGTGCTGTCCGCCAGCGGATTTGTGGATTCCAGCGACTGCGGAAAAGCGAACAACTAAACGATAAGATTAAGCAGGTCCTGATCGCACTTCGCGGGTATAGCTTTCAACTAGCAAGCTACTAGTAGGAAGAAAATGTTCTGAAAAAGCAATAGATTTCCTAATTAAATAAGGTAGTTCAACTATAGTACTTCTCGCTTGTTGAAATCTGGCGGACCGACAAACAATCCGCTGACCATAAACATTCCCCAGCGAAGGGTTTTAATTGTGACAATATGATACCCTGGATCCACCCTTGTGGCAACAGTGTTTAACTGATTGTTTCCAAAATTCGCTTTGGAATCGACGTAAATTGCTTGATCCTTGTTATCATCCAGCCACAACTTTGCCTTACCACCGTAACCAGAAGTGTGAGCCACAACAATCACTGACCGAGATTCAGGCATAGTCTGGGAATTAAGCGGCGGGACCAGAATACGCAGCTTAAGGATTGAATGATCGTTCCACGCAGTCCAGCCTCCTTGGGCGTCGGTGCGCAAATCAGTTTTATTATTGCCATCAGAATACTGCCCTGTTTTCGAGCCTCCTTTTCGATAAAATCCTTTGCTTTCAATAACGTCGAGCTTGAGATTTGAGCGTTGACGAGACTGATAAACATCGGGCGTCAACCCGGTCCAACACAATGGATCACTCAAAGCCTCAGTTTTACGTTTTAAAAAGAAAAGTTCCGGTAAAGCTGAAGAGGCGATTTCCTTTGCGTTGACGTCGTTTCTGACGTCATTGATTACCTCTTTGAAGACACCACGCACATGTTCGATAATCATCATGGCAACTTGGGCATGCGCTTTGATACCAATATGGCGGCCATCCGAGCCTGCCAAATTAGTGACTGCTGTCTCCCATCCGTCGTCTTTCTTGCGACACAGAACCTCTTTCAAACTGAATGAGGATATTCCATAGTGATGAGCAAGCTCAGTTTGTCTAAAATTCTCGAGATTAGTGCACAGGGGATTAATGACCTTCTGAGTTGTCGGGTCAAGACCTAAGCCACTGACCAGATTAATGTAGAATACTGCTGGCGCTGATGGATATGAGAGGACTTGACGAGTTAGTTGTTCCAGGGGCTCGGCCTTGCCACGGATGTTGAAATTAATAGAAGCTTCGATCAAAACAATATCAATGTCTAGGTCTCTTGGGATAAATGTTTTGTAGCAAAACGCGAACACGTAACTGCCCGTTCCGCCGATAGTCACTTCATGTTCCTTCATAAATGCGTTTGTCGCTTTGGCAATGGTGTCATTCCACCATTTCGTGAAAACTTTAAAGTATAAACCATCCAGACTTCCCTCATCGACACCTAACTTTCCTCCAGCGCTGTTCGATCCCCCAACAATAACAACGTTGATTTTTTTACCCGCTAACGCTTTTAAAAGAACCCGTTTTAGACGAGAAGCTTTACCTGCTTGAATAGCCTTTGACATTGAATCGCTAGTAAGTTCCAAGTCACTTAATTCACTCCACCTTGATCTATAGGTCCACTGTGAGAATGGGTCTTCCTTTAAGAGCTCTCTAACGTTCACTGTATTGTCTAGTACTAGTACCGGGTTCAATGCTTCTGAAATCATTGTCTCCTTTTCATCTTCATGAACCCTTGCACTGGACTGTGAAGCCACCCTGATACTGTAATTTTCGGCCACAACATCGGCGCTTTCGATTCCTTTAAGGTAGGAAAATCCCTTCAACAACGCCAAAATTATAAGTAGGAAATGCGAGAAATTCGCAGAGGGACTCATCTTTCTCCTTTTTATCTTAATAAGGCACTTGAAAATATGACAAAAAGAAAACAAAATGGTTCAATGGTCACCAAAAGGAGGCGTGTGACCCGTAAAATCTTCACTTCAGAGCTTTTTCTTGTGGTCAATTAATTGTACGCGCTTGACTGTTAGTACCATGTGAAAACGTCACTCTTCAATTAATCATTCATGTCTTTCAAAATACTAATTAGCTTAAGAGATTAAAATAAAAAATTAAGCCTGTGAAACTTACGAACTTGATATTTAATGACTCTAACTCAAAGGTGTCCTTCTTAGAGGAGCTTCATTGATTGTAAAGGTCTACCCCGCATACATACAAACATAATTAACTCTTTCATTCCCATTAACAGCCAAAGAACAGAATTTACAAAAAAATCAAATTTCTTTTTGCCAAATTCCCCATCCCCACTGTAATACTGTGCAAAATTTCTCTCTTGGAAACACCATAGGATTTTATCCACACATGAAACAATCTCGACCCAGAGCTCTTCTGCGCATGTAGAGAGAGACCCAAACCCGTAAGCACTGGGGTCGGGAATGCACAGGCAGCTGATGCACATGCGTATTTCATGCCATTTCTTAGCTGGTCTGGCTGCATTCTCGTCCCCAGAGCCACTAGGCTTAATTATAAATTTGTTACCGGTCTGGCTGATTTGCACATCTCAAGACACAGACTACCGCTTGCTATTAATGAGCTTGATTTGATTACACAGCCCTTTTACTCCAATAGCCCTTGTAAAGACGAGACTATTTGTCATGTAAACTGTAGGGACACGCTAGTTAGGGACACGGTCAGCTATGGGACCGCGCTGACCTGGGCACTACTTTTTCCAGTTTGAAAAGCGTTTACCTCTTAGTTTACCTCCACGCGAAATCAGATGAACGCGTCGGATACATCTAGAAATCCGCTTCAATCTTGCCTAGTGTTCATTCGATCCTCGATCTTTTACAGAAAACCTCTTTTAGAGCAAACGTTAACTCATCCTACGTCATTATTTTATCATATTTGGTTAAAAACAGTATCCAAAGAAACATGAACAGAAGAGGTGAGAAACGCATAGGTGCCGGGCGGAAGGTATCGCCTTCGTTTAAATATTTGCCAAAATAACAAGAGCAGTTAATCAGTAACATTAGCGAGGAAATAATCGTTACATATATTTGGAAAATCGATGGAAAAGGTTACATATGTTTGGAAAATCAAGCTTTATTCGACTATGATTTATGCAGACTCCGTGTCATTTCTCACCTCCACTGATGATCGAATTCAAAAGTATTTCGCCGATGTCAGTGGCTTTCCCTGGATAAATCCATCGGTGAATTCTCTATAGCCTATAAAAAAAAAAAAAAAAGGAGGGTTCTGCGTGGCCTCCGGGTATAATATAAAGATTATGTCTTTTAAAAAGATAAACACGACAACACTGGTTAATAAATTCAGACTACTTTTCGACATACCC